TAAATTTGGATTAGAAAAATATAATGTTATTGTTGAATTAACTGCTGCTAGAAGAACCGGGGTTCATAGATATACTTTTGTGAAAAATAAACAAAAAAAAGCATTTGTATTGTTAGATCTAAGTCATATATTGACGCAAGGTGGAAGGTATAACGATAACTTAACATTATAATTATGTATTCATTAAAACCATATACTTATCAATATATTACTTTATATTACTTTTTTTTTGTTTTGATTAAATAGTTCACGATACAGAGGTGGTTCAATATACACCGTATCCCCATCCCAGATAACAGGAGTGGGTCATTATTCCGGAGGATGGAATGAAGGACCAAAATATACAGTGTATTTTTGTTCTCAATTTAACAAAAATTCTAGTTCTTTTGGTACATTTTGGAAGAATTTCATAACTGAAAACTCAACCTTTCAAAGTTCTTATGATATATCTTTTGATACACCTGCTATTGGAGCAGTTCTTGGATTTGATTTTGATAATGGTGAGTGTGAAAAGAATTTTAGTTATTATTACAATATATGAAGAGTTTCATTATTAAAAGAGATTTCAATAAATTGCATAGAACTACATAAATCAAAATTAGTCATAATATCACGAGTTGGAATAAGTTTTATATCTTCAGATCAAGCATGTAAAAATGCTCAAGAGGAAGTTCCAAATTTTGACTTTGAAAAAACTCGTGAATTGGCTGTTAATGCTTGGGAAGCCGAACTTTCAAAGATTAGAGTTGATGGTGAGGTTAGGAGTGATTTAAAAACCATCTTTTATTCTAGTTTATATAGAACTATGATTATTCCTAGCGATCGGTATGTGTTATATAATTAAATTATTTTTATGATATGTGTTACTTTTTTTTCACTTATTGCTATAGTTGCTAGGTCAAAGGTAGCCACATTTTTACGTCACTTTTACGTCATATAAAATTTAGGCATATCGTCAATACATCACGTCAATATATCACTATCTACGTCATGCTATATGCTATAATGTGTTATTTGATATTCTAATGTATGCAACTTTACTTATTGCATATATTAAATTAGTACGGGTGAAAATCCGAAATGGACTTCTTATGATAATGAAGGAAAACTTGTGCCAAATTATGACGATTTTTATACACTAGTAAGCTTTCTTTT